TCTTTCTTTCTTTCTTTCTTTCTTTCTTTCTTTCTTTCTTTCTTTCTTTCTTTCTTTCTTTCTTTCTTTCTTTCTTTCTTTCTTTCTTTCTTTCTTTCATGACTCTGGGAGCAAGAATTAAAGACCAGCAAAGAACAACAATAAATAGTAATATGACATACACGAAGGCACATGTTGCGGTCACCAAAGTAAAGGAAGAAGCTTGAGTTGCCAGCTTATATAGGTTGTGGTATATGAATATAGGTATATGGACAGTTGCTGCAGGGAGCAGTCAAACGCTGTTTTCGCAGAGATGGAGACTGAGGCTGAGCCTTGGAGGAACACCAAAACTCCTGTCCATCTGCAGAGAGCAGGATAGGGAGAGTCTTGACGCTTTTGAACTTCAGGATTGGAGAAGACTCCTGAGAATAGTGTGGACAGCCAAGAAAACAGACAAACAGATCACAGAACAAATCAACCCAGGGTTCTCACTTGAAGCACAAGATGGGCTGGGGGGGATGATCCAGTAGGTCACTACTGAGGTTCATATGATAACATCTCAAACTCTTTCAACAGCAAGCAGGTTGATAGATACCATGTTGCAGCATGGTAGAGTGCTCCCGCTCAGGATGCTCTACTACAGAGCATCCATAAGAAATGGAGTTAAATCATCTAATGAACGGTTCTTAGCCTCGATGGCAGGGTGGCTGCCTCTGAAGGCCGTCAGACTAGTGGGCCACTGGGGGAACAGCCTGGGCCAGGGCTCCACTCCGGCAGGACACCGCTTAACTTACTTATAACCAACTTCTGAAACCAGGGAGAGGAAAGATTGGCTGAGCTTTCCCTCCGGCCGCCAGAGGGCAGCATACAGATCACATAAAAAGCCCGTGCCTTTGTTTGGCCTCTCTGTCTCCCTCTCCTCTATGGTGCCTCTGCTGAGGCGAACGTGCGAGTTTCCCCAGAAGTTTGCGAGCTGCATCCGGCGCCTGCTGGTGTGAAAGCGGGCGAAGCAGCTGCTGCTGCTGTCCCGTCATGGAGCGAGGAGGCCCGGGAGAGGCGTTTTCTCTTCCTTCCTTTCCGTTTTAAACATTGCCTCTTTCTTCTTTGCATTGTGCTGGCTTCTTCCCGGCAGGCTGCCGCGTTGCTCAAGAATTCCTCTCCAACAAAATGGAAGGTGTGCAATTTGGGTAAGACTGTCTCTAAACGGCTCTTAGAAGGGCCCCTTTGTGTTTGTCAGGATGAAAAGCAGAGCGGTCTCTCTCTTTAAAAAAAAGTTTCTAGTCCTTAAGATTGCTCTTGGTCCGTTGTAGGTGGTGATGGACTCTGACCGGCTCCCGGGGATGGATATCGGTCTCCTCCCATTGCAGCCTGAGAGTTGATCGATTGCCAAGGAAAAGGCTCTTCTTTGTATTTCACATAAATACCTTGTGGCAAAATTGATCTTAACGAACAAACCAAACATATAGGAGATTTAATACTATTTCTATTCAATCAAGCGTAGACCAAGACTTCTTGCATTACAGGTGAGTTCATGGATTGTACTAACCCATCATGTTTAGCTCAAGCTCAGTGAATTGTACAAATGTAGCAGATGGTGGTTTATTCAGTAAGCCCTGATAACGCATGGTGTAGCCTATGTGTATTTTATTTATTTATTTATCCACCGTATTTAGGTAGCTGCCCATCTCACATGAAAGTGACTCTGGGCAGCGTACAGCACTTAATTAAAAACAACAAATACATAAAAACAGTCACAATTAAAAAATAACTATAAAAAGCGCATAGAATAGAGAGGGTGATATTAACCACAATAAGGGAGCCATTGCAAAATCCCCCAGGCCTGATAACATAGCCAGGTCTTGAGGCAAAATGTTTAGAGCAGTGTTTTTCAACCTTGGCAACTTTTAAGATGTGTGGACTTCAACTCCCAGAATTCCCAGCCAGCATGGCTGGCTGGGGAATTCTGGGAGTTGAAGTCCACCTATCTTAAAGAGACTAAGGTTGAGAAACACTGGTTTAGAGGTATGGCGCTAATCTCACTTCTTGGACGAGAAGGTTCCACAAGGCGGGCACCATGGCAGAGAAGGCCCACCTCCTGGGACCTGCCAAATGGAATTCCCTGGCAGATGGGACCCACAGCATGCCTTCTCTGCCAGAACTGATGGGGCAGGCAGATGTAATCAGGGAGAGGCGGTCCCTCAGATAACCCAGCCCCATGCCATGTAGGGCTTTAAAGGTCAAGACCAGAATCTTAATTGGACCCGGAAGCAAACTGGCAACCAATGCAGCTTGCGGGGCAGAGCTGTGACATGTCCTGTTCTAGAAGCACACATAACTGCCTCCACCACTGCATTTTGCACCAGCTGAAGCTTCCGGATACTCTTCAAGGGCAGCCCCATGTAGAGTGCATTACAGTGGTCTACCTGGGAGGTGACCGGGGCATGAGTGACCGTGAGCAGAGCCCCTGATCTAGGAACGGGTGTGATCAGATTAGTAGTGCAAAAATATCTTTATTATACTCAACGTTTTACAAATGACTAACAGCTATGCATAATTTTCACTCTTTGTATAATTGGTAAATTTCTCTTTGGTATCTTTTTTTTTACTACTCCCCACTTTTCCTTCTTCCACAGACTGGGTGAAAATGTATTAGTCGTCTCTCAGGCAAAGATTCCATGCCTCTGATATTATAATTTACCAGTTATGAAAAGAGTGAAAAGTTAGATGATTTCTATAAAGGAGTCTAATGATGTTATTATAGCACCGAAGCTGTTGTGGAGTACTAACAGTTACTATGGTGTAATAACATTTTTAGACTCCTTTACAGAAATCCTCATCAAAATGCGTTGACACCGTAAAATCAAAGGAAAAAGAAGGGACCATCAACTGAAGTGATAATTGCAGTGCAAATTGTTGGTACCACTTATTTATAAAACAGCAGCTCAGGAGGAGAAAAACTTTGCCAGCTGCTCCAGCTGCTGATGCAATTCTTGCATCAAGATTTACAAGACTGATCTTGTGGCATCCGGTCAAAGGAGCAACAGAGGGAATATCACAGGAGCAGCAGGAAAAGGAAGGTTTGCGTTGTTAGTTGCTAAATATTTTCTGTGTTTAAAAGAGAAAGTCAGCCTCTCATACTTTTGGTGATATGATATGGAAAACACAGGAAGAACTCCAGCTAGATCTGGCTAAAAGCCTAACTAATCCAGCTTTGTTTTTTCTTTTTCTTCTAATGGTGGTCACCTAACTTCTCTTGATCTCCACAACTTTATCTCTTGAACTCCACAACTCTTGATCTCCGCAACTTTATCTCTTGAACTCCACAACTCTTGATCTCCACAACTTCATCTCAGCCATAGGTATTTCACAGCACTCTGGGAAAAAGAGATCCAGCAGAGGGAAAAAATGGGGGTGGGGAAGGAGGGTGGAGTAGCATCTTGAGACTCCCTGGAGAACTTCCAAAAGTAAAACACTAAACCCATGTTCTAAGGGAAGCCAGATCACCGCTCTGCTGTCTGGTGTCTTCTGTTGCTCCAGCAAAATGGTCAGGGAAGGCATTAACCAAGGCACCAGAGCAGAGGGAATGAGCTGCCTTTACTGAAAATGACCAATAGGTACCCAGTTGATCCCCCCTCCAGGGAGTCACCTGACCACTCCACCACCACACTGATTGGTCAAGCATGTCAGATTGTATTGACAGCAAAAGAAATGCCCAGTAAAAGGGGAAAACTTTATTTTAACTCAGAAACAGTGAAAGTCAACTTAAGGCTGCCTCCGAGACCGGCTGGAGACCTGATGTCATAAGGAGATGGTAAAAAAAAAATAGGTTGCTGGAGCGTGTTGCGTGTTAAAAGCAAGCGAAGAACGGTTTTCAAATTCAGGATGGCTTGTTGAGTTGCAGGCATTATCCACACCAGTGTTTAAGATGGGTGGACTTCAACTCCCAGAATTCCTCAGCTGGGGAATTCTGGGAGTTGAAGTCCACCCATCTTAAAGTTGCCAAGGTTGAGAAACACTGATCCACACGAACGAGCAAAACTTAGATGTTTTAATATCTTCTATATCTATGGATCCAAGACCCTGAAAGAGATTCCCCAGGTTGATATTTAATTCTGCAGAAGCTAAGATTCAGTGTTTCCTTTCAAAATAGGTTTCTCAAGAATAGAATTCAACTGGAGTGTGTAAAAGAACCTTCATGTTCACTGGACGTTCCATCCTAGATCTTCAAGTGCTGCAAGATAATGTGTAAAAGGAGCGAAAAAATGAAACTCTTATATCTAGCGAAAAGTGAGGATTTGCTGGTAAGACTTGTTGTAGTGTCGTGAGTTTTGATCATCTCTCCTTTGAATTATTGCAGCCTTCTCGTTGCAAGGCTGCCCTTAGAAATGCCTGGGGGTCCAAAATTTGCTATGATGGGGATAAAAACCACTTTAGGAATCATATAATATCATCCTGAAAGAGCTGCATTCAAAAGATGGGGTCTAGGGGTGCCAGTATGGAACGATAGCACCCTGAAGGGTTTGAGACGCGAATATCTAAAGAAATGCTCCATCTCCTATCCGTTGGGTCTTCTGAGATATGAAGCGGAGGCCCGTGTGGTCGGGTGGTTCATCATTTCAGAATCAAATCCACAAAGTTCTTTTGGAATGTGGAAAGGCACAAATCTAGCATCTGCCTGCAACCCTTTAAAGCAGAGTCAGTCCTACTTGCTCCATGCCACCTTTTTAGAATTGGGTTCAACGTGGAGTCCTTGGGGTTCTCTGAGCTTGGTTGTTTTCTTGCAAATGTTTCGTTACCCGGCTAGGGAACATCTTCAGTGCTAGAATGAGATGGGGGCTCTGTGTTTATATATGGTGGCTTGCCCTGCCAGCGTTGGGGGGGTTATTCCCCCCCCCGTAGTTCCTGGATTAGGGTATTGTTTACTGCTTGACTGTATGTCAGGTGATAATTTCGGTGTTAATCTCTGCTCATCTGGGTAATGTTTGCTGGTGAGGAGGTGTTCTGGTCTTTTGTTGTCCTTTTTATTGTCTCTTTTGAATAGTGTATAAAAGTTGTTCATCTCTGTGTGCCTGTTGATGGCTGCCGTGTCCGAATAGGTTCAATGTGTCGCGCAACCATAGCTGTTTTATCTGCAGAGGGGTTTCATCAAGCAGGAAAAAGGGGTCTTCTCTTGCACTGCTCTGAATATGGAATGCCATTGATCTTACTCTCATTTCATTTGAACTCAGGCCCACCTTAGTAAGGATGGGCTAAGACCCTCAGCCTCTTTTATCACCCGGACTCCCCCCGCCCACTAAGACATTAAATCTGGACCAACCTTTTGAATGTTTGAATAGCATTACCCATGTCTTACACATTAACTAAGTTTAATGCTGACTGGAAACCCCTTATAGACCTTTTTGCATGAAACTGAAAAAAACGATCTGATGATGTATGGTTTTGATGGTTAGAAAAAACAACCAGATTATAGAAAAAATGAAAACCATGCTGTAACCATAGAGTAAGAGGTTAATTTACACTTATAACTGCTGTAAAAGAAAATCAGAAGTTACTTCTTTATTTTCTTTATTTTCTTCCCTTTTTTTCTGCACTTTTGGCTTTATCTTTTTCTTTCTTTCTTTCTTTCTTTCCTTTTCTTTCCTTTTCTTTCCTTTTCTTTCCTTTTCTTTCCTTTTCTTTCCTTTTCTTTCCTTTTCTTTCCTTTTCTTTCCTTTTCTTTCCT